CTCCCTTTGTATTGCCAGAGTCTGTAGCAGCTTAACAATACTCCTGGAGATTTAAGTGAGCAAGGCAGCCCTTCCCTCGGCCTTCCTTTGATTCAAGCAAACCACAAACATTTCAAGCCACTTCCACGTACATCAATATATCATCCCCTCTGATCCTTCAAACAACCGGCACAGGTCATCGGGGTGGAACAATGATCCTCATTAAAGATGAAGAGACTCCCTCGGCAGCTAAGTGGCAGGGCTCAGTCTGGAGCTGAACACCGGGGGCATCTTTGCAAAGAGTGGCTTGTAGGGGGAGCTCTTACATATTTCAGGATGAGTCGTGTTGTCAAGAGTGGAACTCGCCCATCCCAGTCCTGTTACAATACCATCTCCCAAAAGGCAGTCACTCCGGTACTAAGATGTTTGCCAAACCCAAGGACCACTTATGCTTATGAATCAAATTCTTTAATTATTTAAAAAAATGTTTTACAGTTTAAAGCATCGACTTTCATTTCAACCTACGCAGCAGTATCTGTGAAACCACAGCTTTGTGTGCTACTTAGTTTTTTTCCCCCCAAAAAACCAACCAAGAAAAATATGTAATTATTCTTTTTTCTTTTTACACTCAGCTGCAGACGTTTTACAATTACCTCGCACACCACTGGCAACAACACGCCTGGGGAAACATTTGTAAGATTAACGAGACAACTTTGGGCCATATTTATTCACTACCATTTGTTTTATTAATGTCATTTTAAGGAAAGACAGTTCATTCGACAAGTCTGTGATCAGAACGTCAGAAAGAGAACTCTTCAGAGCGAGCAACTTTGCTGTTGGGAAAACCTACTTGACTTTAGACGATGAGCTGTCTGAACTTAGCTTGCTGGTCTTTCTGTCCTGCGCGGTGATGACTATGGTGCATCCCAGATTTCTCAGGACAATCTTGGTGCCAAATATCACTTTGCTGACCCCTCTCTCAGCTCTGGATGCTGGGTTCTAGGAAGCTTCTAGAAGCTGATGTCATCTAGCCTGCCCATGGAGGGCAGGAACTGGAGCAGTTTATGGGGTCCCTTTTATTAAACAGATCACCAGAAGCCCAGCTTCCCAAGGACGGTGACAGCCCCGGGAACTCAATGATTCCGTTCCGCAACTACTCATTAAGCACTGGCGATACCGGGTGAATAAAACCAACATGTCTTTGCACGGGAAAGAGGGAAGGACTCATTCAGCCGGTTCTTCTCCAGCCTCCCTTCTCCCCACATCCGGCCCCAAGACAGGCCAACATTCCCAGAGCCCAACAGCTGTGCCTGAGAGTGACCCAGTGCCCAATGGGAAGTGACCTCCTGCCTGAGCATAGCTTTGTTTACCAGTCTCCCGCCAGTACGTGAGTGAGTGTGGACATCCAGCACCTGAGATAGATGACACATGCCATAAGGGTCCCAGACCCTGGGGACCTGGGCCTGGTATCCCACTGACCACTTCCTAGCCAAGGAACTTCTCAGCTGCGCCCCAGATCTAGTCCTGGGTCTGCCACCCACCTGCTGTGTGACCTGAACAAGTCACTCCACCTCTCTGAGTGTCCCTAGCTGTCAAACTGGGACTTTAAAAGGTCCTTATGCCCCTGAAATTCTCCAATCTCAGCCTGCGACTGCGCTGAATGCAGGAAGCCCTCACCCTGTCCGCTGCCTGGAAGAGCCCAAGTGACTCTGGAGTAGAGCAGCGCTGGTGGTGTCGTCACCACCGCCAGCCTCCGCCCTGGTGTCAGGTTACCAGGCCTGTCCTCTCTCGCTGGGTGGCAGCTCTGCCTCTGATATTTTTAGACTCCCCCTCGCTCGGCCTGTCTCTAACAAGAGCCAGATGCATCTCATTCCCGCGCAGTCCTGAAATTGCACCTTTGGGTAACTCTGCAGGGAGCCAGACTTCACCACCCCTGTGGGGAGGAGGGGAGCTCTTCCCGCCACCCCTACACCCATCTCCCAGTCCCTCCCAGGACAGCCGGAGGCTGTCACCCAAGAGGCCAGCCTCTAGTACTTCCCACGATGCCAACCGCCCTCTTCCCCCATGCCAGCTGCTGCTGCCACTCGCCTGCTTTCCCAAGACACCCTCTCACCCCCTCCTGCACGGGCGTCCCAAGGCCGACCTTTAACTCACTCCTCTAGGAGAGGCCTGCACCCCAATCCCAGTGCCTGGGTGGTGACCTCCACCACGTCTGCCCCAGAGCTCCCCATGGTGGAGCCGATCCCACCCCCCTTAGCCCCCGGAGCCTGCATCAGAGGCCCCACTTGGGCATCAGCCACGTGTTGCAACACACGCACACACACAAAAGCACACACACAATTACCGGCCCCCCCCAGGAGGGCGGGTGGCCCCCTGCCTCCCAAACAAATCCCGCCAATCAGCAGCAACCCAGCGCCACCCATCTGGCCTGGAAAGGCATTTATGTATTTTTGTCTCGACAGACTTCCCTTCCTGGTCATGTCTGGCGGAGTTTACTGCCACAAAGAACTGGCCTTGGCTGTGCCCCCACCGACCAGGGAGGCAGCGGAGCAGAGGCCGGGGCAGGGGAGTGTCAGTGTGCGCCTAGGGTGAAAAACTGGCGGTGGAGTCTCCTGTGAATTACCTGTTGCTGCAAAATTGAGAGTCTGTGCACATCGCACGTGGCCTCAGCTCCCACCCTGAAGATGCTGTGTGAGAGGCAGAGAAAGGGAAGCTGGGTAAACATTCACCCCCATTCCAGGAAGGATGGACCCCATAAAGGATTTAAGTGCCATTACTGGTGTGTGTGTGTGTGTGTGTGTGTGTGTGTGTGTGTGTGCAGGTGCTAAATGGATGTGTTCTGTATTTACAATCAAATGACACCAAGCCCTGTTAGCCCTTCATCAGCTAGACCCTGATCTGGGGTGGCGCCAGCCAGAGAGGGTGCAGCCCTTCCCCAGGGCAGTGCCACCTCCAAGCCCCACCCTCTTCACACCACCGTTCCCACCTGGCCCTGCCGTCACCCACCCCACTTGTTGGCCATGTCTGTGGCTTCACCACAAACGTGTTCTCTGGATTTCAGACGCGTCTCAATTCTCCACTTCGGGGGCAGAGGAGGCTCGGGCTATGTGGCCTGCTCTCTACCTCCGACCCGACTCCCCAGGTCCCCGTGGGGGTGGAGGCAGCAGGATCCAAAAACCCTCAGTGGGAAAACAGGTTCCGCACCTTCCTGCCACCCCCACACCCCTCCCTTGGCTGTGGGCTTGGCATTTGCCAAGGCCCCCGCGGGCATCCGCGCCCTGTTTTCTCCAGAAATGCCCCCTCCCAACCCCCCCATTCCCCGCAAACCACCAGGGCATCTCCAGGTGGAAAAAAGGGGAGGACTCAGGGGGAGGCGGAGGTTCAAAGTCTGGCTCTTGGCACTTTCAGCTCAGTGGCCTTGAGCAAACTGACTCCTCTCTGGCCTGGGTGTCCCCACCTGCAACCGGGGAGTTTGCTGCAAAACGGCTCAGAGGCGAGGCTCAGGGGCGAGGCTCAGGGGCGAGGCCCCCGGGAGAAGTGGGAAGACAGGTGCGCACCAGGGCACCTGGAACCTCGATCAGCTCCAGGGCTACCCTTCCGGCTCGCAGCTCCGGGGGGAAACCAGGACCCTGTTCCTCCCTTATTCTCTCTGGGATTCCTTATCCGGAGGCCAAACTCCAGGGAGAGGTGGCCAGCAACAGTGCGTCAGTTCTGGGATTTCTCTAACTGATTCAGACTGAAGAGCAGTGCTGGCCGGAGGCATCTGTTTTTAAAAAATTGTGGTGAAATATGCATAACATCGTAATTATCATTTTAACCACTGTACATGTACAATTCAGTGGCATTAAATACATTCACAATGTTGTGTAGCCATGACCACTATCTATAACCCTAAACTTTTTCATCCTCCCCAGCAAAATCTGTACCCATGAACTGCTAACTCCCCACTGCCACACACCCCCACCCCTGGCAACCACCATCCTACTGTCTACGACTTTGCCTGTTCTGGGTGCTTCTAGACGTGGAATCACACAGCATTTGAGCTGGAGGCTTTAAGTCCCTGTCCAAGCCCCTCACTTAGACACAGCAAGGTTACAAGATCACTGCTCACGTGCGCACAAACTCACACACACACAGCTTGGGAGTTGGGGTTGGGGACAGTGACCCTTTCTCCAGCCCTGAACCTGGGCTGACAGCCTTACTGTAAAGCAGGGGGTGGATTCTGTGGCCTGAAGGGAGAGCTTTGCTCTGTGGGGTGTCGCTCAAGTCCAGGTGTCTCCCACTTGTCGCCCCATACGATGTCCACATGTTAGCGCTACGTTACGACCTTAAAGACCTCCCCGGAGTGCACGTAGGTTGCCGGATTTGGGGAGGGCGTAGAATCCACATTCTGACCTCTAGCCTCCCATTCCTCGGGAACCCAAGAGGTGGCCTTGCCTCCTGCAAGCCGCCCCCCGCCCCAGCCCCATCAGAGCTGGGAGGGAGAGAGGTGTCATCCTAGCAACGCCCCAGGCCTCTCCACCGCTCCGGACCCAGAGAAGTCGCTCCTCGCCGCTCGGGGGCGCGCCGGAGCCGCGGCCGGGCCGGGAGGGGTGCGCAGGCCGGGAGGACCCGCCGACCGCGCCTGGGCTCGGCCAGTCCTGCCCGCTCTGAGAGACTGGGGGCGCTGCGCCGGGACGCCGGGGACCGCCCTGGTCCCCGAGAGGCCGGTAGTAGGGCTGGCGGGGGCACGGGGAGCCGCCCCGGCTCCTCCCCGAACTTTTCCCGCCCGCCTCGGCGCAAAAGGCGAAGGAAGCTGGCCGGGGGTGGCGAGGCGGCATGCGGGGGCCCGAACCAGCGCGGCGCGGGCTGGAGGTCTGCGGCACGGGTGGCGCCTCGGCCTCTCCCTGCCCCCCACCAATTCCAGGGGCCGCTCTCGGTCCAGTAAGTGGAGGGGTCGTGCCCCTCCTGCCCGGGCGCACGCGACCCCGAGCCCCCCGACGGCGCCCCGCGCGCGGATCCGGGCCGCGCCCCCAACTCACCGGGCACTGGCGGCGGCGCGGGCGGCTGGACAGACAGACGGGCTGCGGCGCGAGGCGAAACCGCCGGGCTGTTTTGAAGCTCTGGGCTGGGACTGCGCGCCCTACCTCCTCCCTCTCCGGCGCGGAGCCTCCTCCCCACGGCCCCCTCCTTCCCCGATCCCGCCTCCCGGGGCGTGATGTCAGGAGCCGGGACAGCCGAGGGGCGGGGCCGCGGGAGGCGGAGGGACCCTGCAGGGAAAGGCCCTAGGCGTCCCCAGCCGCGCCCGCCTCCCTTCGGGCAAGTTTGGGGCGGAGTCGGTGGCGAGGCCCAGGGAGAGGGAGAAAGGGGAGCTCCTGGGGACTGGAAGTCTTCATTCGCTGCGCTCCCTTCGCAGGTTTCCACGTCCCTCTCCTCTTTCCTCCTCTCCCCCTCCCTACCCCTTCCCTTCGCCCCCTCTTCTCCCCTTTTCTTCTTGTCCCTTTGGGTAAGGGGCCTTGGAATGCGGGCTCCCAGCTCTAGAAACCCCCTTATCTGGCATTTTTATTGACTTCGTGAGCTTAGACTTAATCTTTCCTGCCTCAGTTTCCTCTTCTGCAAACGGCAGTTTTTAAAAAGACCTCTTTCCTTGGGTTGTTGTAAGACCTGAAGGTGTAATACATCCACAGTGCTTGGCACATAGTAAGTCCTCCATAAATGTCAGCCGTTGTCATTTTTATCGACTGACCTGGAAACCTGGCCTTGGTGCGGGGTGGCCCGGCAACCAGGAACCAAGGCTTAGGATGTCCCCAGGGTCCCCCATTCACTCCCCGGCCGATACACACACACCCTCACGTAAACCACTCTCTGTATCTTTCGAACACAAAGTCCTGGAATTTATTGTCCCTGGAAGTGACATCGAAAGACAAGGAACTGCCTTTCTTTCTGGCCTCAGTTTCCCCATCTGAAACTGAGAGGGCTGATCTACTCTAGAGACTCTTGGGAGGATGAGGTGGGGGGGAGGCCAGAGGGGCCTGAGCCCCCCTCCTACGTGTGGAAGGGAAAGTGGGAGTTAGTGTATTAAAAAAATCAAAGAAATTCCAACACAGGGCCACAACAGTATATTTTTATACTTTTAATTTAACAGGTTAATGTTATTTGCACACACCCCAAAACACAAGGCAATAGACTTGTGCTACTAACAAGAGAAGGAGAAACCCTTTTAAGAAATACTGATTTATTGCGCGGCAGTGTGCTCTGGCTGGGACGTCATGTTTATGTTTCCTGATGAGCATCTTTTTTTTTTAATGCTGCTGAAGAGCTTTGCAACGGGAGGGCCTTGCTGGATCTAAATTAGGGATCCCTGGGGGATTTGAGAACCCCTCCAAGGCCCTGAATTTCCCTGCTTGGCCTAGGATCTGACCTGCCAAGTCTCTTTTAATTCTATGGCTTCTCAAGACTTTCTTACTCAGGGCTGGAGAGAGGGCAGGAAGGCATTAATTTGAACTGAGTTCCCCTTCCCCACGCTGGGAAGAGTGGGGTCTGACTGCTATAGAGAAGGCCAGGCAGGGCCCACCTGTCTGTCCTACAGCCACGTGGAGGACCGTGAAAACCCGAAAGTCTCTCCCCAAATGGAACGGCCACATAGGAGATGGAGCAGCTAGTTTTCTGCCATTTGCTGACCACTCACTGTATGCCAGTTCCTTTACCAACATTACCTTCGATATGACACAACAGCCCTGCAAAAGAAGTCACTGTCATTTTATCCATGAAGAAACCAAGGCTCAGAGGAGCTACGTAAATAACTTTGTCAAAGGCCGCATGCGAGTGACGAAACGGATTTGAACCCAGACTGACGGCATCAAACGCCACTCTCCTCTCTCCACTCTGTCACCACCAAGTGCTAACCATGCTCGAGCTATCATTTTTGCCAGATCCACCCGCCCCCTGACCTACTATTCACTTAATAGTTTTCTTTAAGTTAACTCTGTTTATTTTAATGTGTTTATTTTAAAAGAAAGCCCTCTATCGCCATGGTAAACAGGAAACCCGTGCCACCCGCCAAAAATAGAAGACAAACTGACACAAATATAAACACTACCAATACATAACAGTGTTAGTAAATTGTAGCCAGGTACTGTTGCCTGGAAGAGCCCGTGAGCCCAGGGTTTAGGGTCTATGAAAAAGGCAGATCAGCAAGGTGTTTAAAAGCACGCAAGCACAGAGAAGGCTTTCTCCTGTTGTCAACAGAACTATTGCAAGATAACTGGGAAAGGGAATTGTGTTCTCACTTTGTGATTCAAAGCCAGGCGATGTCTCCTCCTGGCATCTTCATCTCCCGAGCCACCTGCTGCTGGGCTGCGTCCAGACTGGGGCCAGCCTGGCCAGACACCAGGATGCCTCTCCAGCACCCAGGAAAGGAGTGTGCCAGTTGCTCCCCTCCCTGGGTTCCAAACCCTCTCCAGAGCCCCATCTACCTGTCACATTCACCTGCCACCTACTGCTCTTCGTTTTCTCTCTTTAAATATACTCCTGTCCCTCCAGTAGGATTGGAGACAGAAACCTGCCTTATACCTGCTTGTACTTTCATGCTCCTGGTGTTTCAGCAATAAGCTCAAAACCTCAACATGGTGTGGGGGGAAAGTAAGAGTGTGTTCGATTGAGTTCTGGGCCCCAGTATTTAAGCTCCCTATAGTAGCAGTATACGTCCCCACCCTAGCCATAGCCTCATGATGGGCAAGCATGTCCCCCAACTTGACCTTGAGCTCAGCTGTATGATTTACTTTGGTCACTGAGGTGTGAACAGACACGACACACACAAGGAACGGAAAGGTGTTTGGGCAGTAGGTTTTGCCCTCTTGCAATTTTGCCATTTCCACGAGCAGAATATACCTCTGGTAGCCTCCTGGTTCCAGAAAAATGAAAGACACATAGAGTGTGCCACCCCGGGAGACCTGCAGAACTTCCATGTGAGACACACAGCCACCCCAGCTACGCTGCAGACACGTGACTGAGAAATGTGTGTTTATTGTTGCATGCCACTGAAGCTTCATGGTTACTCGTTTCGCAGCAATAGCTGGTTGATAAAAGGATGATCGTATATGGCGAGAGAAAGAATTGTAAGGAAGGCACTTGAAGGTCATGGAGGTTGGAGCGAGGCGTTGGTTCAGGATTGGGGAGAGAAGATAATTGAGAACTGAGTGATCTCTGTGTGTCCTTCCTGGCTTGAACATTTTAGGTTCTGCAGTCCTTTGTAACCTGCTCCTGTCCACTCTTGCTCTCAGAAGGAATGGCCGGCGGTGTCCATGCCCTGGTTCGCCTAGGAGCAAATCTGATCCCCAGCCTTCAGACAGCTTAACAGAACCCCACGTTGTAGCAGAATAAGTCATGGAGAAAACCATGTGGACTCTGGACAAGAAAGATGGAGACTTTTAAAAAACATATGATTTAGGTCCACAAAGCCGTGGGATCGTGCGCTGGGGATGGATCAAATATGAACGGGGTGCAGCCATCACGCCCGCTTTGGGTTGGTGGGTTAGTTGAATCTTAGCAGAGCCAGGGGTCGTACTAATTTCCATTCAGTGGCCATGTCCTTTGAAAACAAACTGGTCCATAGGCTACTAAGGGGCCCCCGGCGCCCCTGCCTCCTGGTGTTCCCGCCTTTGTGTAGTTGTCTGCCCCGGAGAGTGGGCTGCACCCAGTGACTGGCTTCTAATGAATGGACTAAGGTGAAAGTGATGAGATGTCACTTTTATGATTAGGTTACAAAGCACTGTGACTTCCGTCTCACTAGCAGACACTCTCTGCCGCCTTCCAGGCTGTGTGCTGTCGTGGAGTAAGCTGCCGTGGTCAAGACGCCCGCGTGGAAAAGCCGGGAACCGAGGCTGTCAGTCCAGCAGCCTGCCAGGACCAGGGCGCTGCCGACTCCACGTGAGCTCGGCCGTGGGTCCTCCCCCAGCTGAGCCTCAGAGGAGACCCCAGCCCTGGCCGGCACCTCCACTGAAGCCCCGTGAGAGACTCTGTGGCAGAGGACCCCGCTAAGCCACACCAGACTCCTGACCCACAGCAACTGTGAGATAATAAACGCGTGTTGCTTTATGTTGCTAAACGTTGAGGCGATTTGTTATGCGGCAATAGATAACTAATGTACACGCTAAGAGGTTGACGGGCAAGCTCTGTCTGGAACAGTGCTGGTCTCAGGGAAGAGGGAAGATGAGATGACGAACCACACACTGGCTATTAAAAGCTCCTCTGTGCTCGCATTTCATTGGCGATGCAGGTTATGAGGCCAAGCAGCAAAAAATCCCCCGCTAGCCACGCTACCGTGGCCAGTGGCTTCACCTCTCAGGAGCCAACACTGTCTGAATTTGGCTTGTAGGTCTGGAAGCTTCTGCATGTAGGAATATGGCAAACACCTTCAAAGGCCTCCCGAACAACATTTTCTCTTGACTACTCTTTGAGAGACGGAGTAGGATTCTCAGACCAGGACTACCCAGGAAAATCCCAGATGTGACAGTTACAGGAAGACTAGCACCGAGTCCCAACTCTCCTCCACCAACTGAAGGCCCTGCCGTCAGCGGTTCTAATCACGGCTCAGCTGGCTGCCGTCTTGCCACGAGAGCCAGCCGGGCAGCCCGCTAGTCCTTGCTGTGGGAACCGTCAGGAAATCGGAATTCCTTGAGAGTGGGATCCGAGAAACATGTTCTCTTGAGGCCATTTCCTCCCTGTCGCCCACCTCCACAGACTGGGTTGAGGGCAGGATGGGGACGATAGTTTCCGGACGAGAAACAAGTTCTGGTATCTTCCAACTTAAAGCTCGGCGCGCTGGGTCTCATTGCTTCTCCCCATGGGTCAGGGGCAGAGCCATAATTTCAGGGTCTTTTTCCTGCCTCCTTTCGTCTCTGATTTTTGTTGCAGAAATACCTGCAACATTCTGCAGACACAATGAGAATTAACGGTACAAATATTGTCCACTTGACTCACGACGGAGGGGTTTGACAAATCACCAAAGACGACGACCACAGAGTTTCTAAACCTCTGGAGGAACAGCCCCAAATCCTGCCATGTTGGGCTGTTTCACATCTTCTAAAGCCGTCGCATGTAA